AAGCCGTCCCCAGCGGATGGCCGGAGCCTGGGGGCTGGCCTAGGCAGAGCCTGGCAGAGCCTAGCGCATGGCTGGCACTGGCCTAGGCAGACCTTAGGCCTAGGCAGAGCCTAGGCAGAGCCTGGGGGCTGGGATAGCCAAGGCAGAGCTCACGGGCTGCAGCAGATGGCCTGGGCAGAGCCTGGGGGATGGTCTAGGCAGAGCCTAGCGGATGGCCAACAGAGCCTAAGGGATGGCCTAGGCAGAGCCAGACAGAGCCAAGGGGTGGCCTCGGCAAAGCCTAGGCAAAGTCTCAGAGCCTAGCGCATGGCCGAGGCAGAACCTAGGGGCTGGCCTAGGCAGAGCCCAGAGGATGGCCTCGGCAGTAGGCAGAGCTTTAGACACTTTTTTTATGGCCTAGGCAGAGCCTAGGCAAAGCCTAGCGGATGGCTTAGGCAGAGCCCAGCGGATGGCCGGAGCCTGGGGGCTGGCCTAGGCAGAGCCTGGGGCTGGGATAGCCAAGGCAGAGCTTACGGGCTGCAGAGGCTCAGCAGATGGCCTGGGCAGAGCCTAGCGGATGGCCGACAGAGCCTAAGGGATGGCCTAGGCAGAGCCTAGGGGCGATGGCCTGGGCAGAGCTTTGCGCATGGCCAAGCCAGAACTAGGGGATAGCCTCGGCGGCAGAGCCTGCGGATGGCCTAGGCAGAGTGTAGTGGATGGCCGACAGAGCCTCGGGGATGGCCTCGGCAGAGCCTGGGGGATAGCCAAGGCCCATTCCCAGGCTCTGCTTAGGCTATCCCCTGGGCTCTGTCGGCCATCCACTACACTCTGCCTAGGCCATCCGCTGCAAGCGGGCACGACCCTCCTCAGGCTTTGTGGAGGATGGAAGGAGACGGTGGGAGCGCTGCGCTACGCGTGGAGGGCTCGGGGAGAAGATCACTTCGCAGGGCTCTTTGATCACCACCTCGACAGTCACCTTCCGGAGGATCTCCTTGCGTGGGTTAGAAGAGTTGCCCAGGAAGGGGTAAAGGCCGAGTACCGTGGCACGCAGCGTGCCCGGGTTAAGGCCACCCCACATCCCTCCCTTAAGGATCATGTGGAAGAAGCTCGGCAACTAATCTGGCAGGACGCCACGCGAGGACGAGTGCTCTTGATGAGCCCGGGCCCCGACGAGGAGGACCTGTTAGATGGGGTGGTATCCGTACCATTGGCAAGAGTGCCGAAGTATAACCCAGACAGGTCAGTCTCCTCCAAAGGGAGAGTTATATGGGACGCCAGAGTCGTTAATGAACTTTGTCATAAGGACGACCATTTTCCAGCCATCCAACCCAGATACGCAGAGGTAGTAAGGCTGGTGATGTGGTACAAGAGCCGGTACCCCGGCGTCCGCATCCTTTTGGCGAAGAAAGACGTCTCGGAAGCCTTTAAGTGGCTTTGGGTCGAACAGGACGACTGCAGGCTTTTCGGAGCGGATCTCCCCCCTGAAGGGACTACCAGGGACAGCCGTGGCGACGCTTCGCGCCCGGTTACGGTCTTGTACCTCGCAATGACGTTCGGATGGACTGGGGCCCCAGGAGAGTTCATGGCTTTCGCATGGGCGATTAAGTTGCTCCACAGAGCATGCGGGCCCGACCGGCCTGAGTGGCACGACTCGTCCTCCTTCCGGTCGCTCGCTTTAATGGACGACTCGGTTGTGATCGAGCCCGACTTGGGCCTACGCCCTCAGCTGTCGGTCGACGCTTTGGAAGAAGCGATCCGACAGACTTTGGGGCCACTCGCCATCAATGTGGCCAAAGACGTCGAAGAGGGGACCCTCACCACGAGAAAATTGATTTGGGGCCTAGAGTTCGATACAGAAGCTGGGACCTGTCGGCTCCCACCTCTCAAGGTCGAACGAGCCTACCACGTCCTCCAGTCCCCGTTCTTCGACGCCGGCCAGACCAAGGTACCGCTCAAAGAAGTCCAGGTGCTACGGGGCTCTCAACAGTTCTGGCTAGGGGTCCTCCCGCAGCTCGCCCCTTACCTCCAGAGCACTAATGCGCTCTTGGGACCCGCCGACCGAGAAGGCCATGTCGTCCTACGCGGGAATGAGGCAGACCAGTCCGCGCAGTGGGAAGCATTCTGGAGCGCCATCGAGCTTCAAAGGCTGTTGGTCGGTTCACGGCAATTTTGGGAAGCGCGCTTCGTCTCGCAGCTCGAGCACGCACTCACCACGCCTGAACTCTTGGCCCTACCAGAGGTCAAGCGCAATCTGGTCTGGGTGTCAGCTGACGCCACGCCCACCCGGCTGGGAGCGATCGACTGGACCGCCAGGGTCGCAGTTGCTTGCGCCGCAGCTCCCCTCTTATCGCCTCTTGAAGCCAACGCCCAGGATCCCACCGACCTCGAGGCTCGTACCGAGCCCGAGGAGGACTTGGTGCAAATAGGCGTCGCGGAATTACTGGCCTTGCTCGTGTTAGTAGTCGCCAGAAAGGAAGCCTGGGCAGGCAGCGTGATTCTGTACTTGGGGGACAACACCAATGTGCAAGATTGGCTGCGCAAGCGGCAAGCCGGGAATGCGCAAGCCAACCACCTCCTGAAAGTCTTGGGAGCGCTAGAGGGGGTCCATGGCCTACAGGTGAGGGGGGCTTACCTTCGCACTTACCACAACCAAACCGCCGACGACCTGACCCGGCTTGACCCCGACAAAGTCATCGAGCAACAGGGGCTGACTCGCCTCAGTGTTCCAGACGATTGGGGTCGAGTGCTGGAAGAAGCTTGGCACCGCAGAGCCCTCTTGTGGGTAGGCCAACCAGACTCCGATCGGCAGATGGCCCTGCAGCTCGCCACGCGGAGGATTGGACCGGCCCCTCCACGGGCCATGCCCGCGTTCGGTTGGAAGGTGCACGAGCTCGGTGCTTCAGAGCACGGCGTGTACACCCGAGCTTTCTTTGCCGCCGGAGGCTTGAAGCACGACCCCCAAGACTCCTTAGCCGCTTTGGAAGGAGCACCCGCCGTGGAGCGTTTCGCTCCCGGTGAAAAGGAAAACCCCACGCAGGAAGAACGTCTGCTTTGCGTCGCCACCGTGACTGGCGAAGCGGAGGCGCGACGGGTAGTGTCTAGCGTGCCTGCGCAGGCCGCGAGTATCTGGAGAGACTCTTTCCGACCACTCGCGGTCGAAGCAATTTGCACGGAAGAGGCCCGGAACCGCTGGGAATGGTGGACGGAGGAGTTCACCGGCCGCACCTTTAAAGAGCAGGTGTGGTGGCACCGCTGGGTGCTGGTTGGTGTAAACCCTGGTGTAGGACAGGAAGCACGTGCTGCGACGGATGAAAAAAGGGCTGCTCTCGAGCCCTGCACGCCACCCCTGCACACGTACGCTACCCACTGGTTGGACCCCAAACCCAAGGCTGGCTGGGTTGAAGGGACGGTGCACCTTGACCCCACTTTCCCCTTTCTTGGGTTGAAGTCCCCCAAACCCTGTGGGACGGTTCGTACCCAGAAGAGGGCGCGCTTGTTTGGGACCACCAAGCCCATGCCCCCTTTGCACGATGGCTCCTGGGACCCCGGTCGAAGGGATGCGCTGCATTTGTTGAGCCATGGGGAACAAGGAGTACAGGTCAGGGTGATCGGGGCCCGGGAGGTCTATAAGCTTCTCGGAGGAAGGGGCTGGGACGCCACAGATGACGATGAGAGCGACGCGCGTCTTGCCCTGCATGCCCCACCTTACGCCCTGGCAGCTTTCGCTGCCGAGTTTGTAGGCTCCCTCCCCCCTGACGCGTCGACCGACCGCAGCCGTTTCAGCTCTGAGGGGGGCGGTGCGCTCCCTATAGTGTAGGCAAGGCAGGAGCTTGTGAGCTCCCGTGGGAGAACGACGCAGAGGCCTTGGTGCGCCTGTGGCTTGGAGGAAAACTCGAGGGTAGGTCCACGACCCGCTGCTCCGGTATGGGTGGCAAAGGCAACCAGAAAGGAAAGGGAGCCCACAAAGGGCGCAGAGACCAGGAGAAGCTGGAGCGTCTCCGTGGCTCGTTTCGAGCCCGGAGTGACGCTGACCGGCGAAGACTGGTCAAGATCCTCAGACACGAGGCTGCCCTCCTGGGTCTTCCGATCCGCGAAGACGGATGGGTCTCGTTGAAGGACATCAACGAGTGCGTCGGAACCATATCCGGCGAAGATGCCGCCCGAATCATTGGGCGAGACGAGAAAGATAGGCTAATTCTTTCTCAAGAGGGTGAAGAAGTGTGGGTGGCGGCCGTGTCAGGTCACACCATAGCAGGGGTTGTGGGGCCTGGCCGAGAGCTGCCCCTACAGGAGGTCCCAGAGGTGCTTGTGCACGGCTCCTACGCGCGGCACAGCAACAACATCCTCAAGGAAGGATTGCACGCGCGTAGAGCGATCCACCTCCTCTCCTGTGGGTCCAAACACGGCAGGTGGAGGTCGGACATCGAAACCTCCGTGTTTGTTCTCGCCCGAGAAGCCGCTCGGTACGCCCAGGTTCGGTTCCTTCTTACCACCAATGACATCTACCTGGCGCCGGACGGAATACCTCCCGAGTATATCTCGCAGATCGAATCCTGGCGGAAAGGACCGGTTCCCTTCCCACCGCGGGCAGCGGGGTCTTCCGTGGGGCGGTCCGCTCCCGGAACGGCTGCCGGCCCGCGCCGGGAAGGAGCTGCGAAAACCGCGGCCGAAAAAGCCCAGCAGAGAGCTGAGGCTGTGGCCGAGCACAAGGAGGCCGCACGCTTTACCGAAAGGCAGGAGGCCAGGCGTAAGTTGGCGTCGGCCGCACCCCGGGGCACAGTGGGCGTGGAGTTGCAGAGAGCTCTGGACTCCGACTGTGAGTCCTGTTCGGACCGCAGGGAGCAGTCCACCCTGAGCGCAGCAGCGTACGCCACGCAGCGCCTCCACCGGAGCCTGTCGTTCTTAGGCCACGCCTCCAACCTGGCACCCCGGCGCGAGGCAGTGAACGAGGAGCACTGGGGTCAACCGACAATGTGGTAGCGACCTTGGAGCGCCCCGAGCCAGAGCTGGGGGACGAGGAGATGGAGCTGATAGAAGTCGCCGAGCAGAGGAACTCAGACCAGTACCCTCCCGAGGGCAGCCCCAAGAGTGATGAGCCGATGCCTTCCGTGGAGCGTTCCGCTCCCGGAATAGCAGAGGCCACGCTCGAGGGCGATGAACCGATGCCTTCCGTGGAGCGTTCCGCTCCCGGAATAGCGGAGGTAGAGCCTGCGGTCGGTCCAGGTCTGAGCGCCCCAGGGGCAGCAGCCCAAGAAGCAGCACTGAAGGAAGAGCAAGCTGCGCCAGGGGAAAGCGCCTCTACGTCCGCCGAGGCGCGTTTCGCGCCCGGCGAAGGCGAAACACAGGCGATCTGGGGCCCAAAGGTTGAAGAAGGAGGTCCCTTGCAGCCTCTTGTGGACGCCGCCCAGGCGTTGGGGGAGGTGGCTCTTGCAGAGCCGGAGGCCATCGCGCTGAAGGTCGACCCGGACACGTTGACGGCGGAAATCG